GGCGGGTCTTTTATAAAAATTAACGCTTGTCTATCATGTCTGTGCGTGTTACGTGTTATCATCCTTCCCGTTGATTAAATTTTTAATCAGGAATACATTTGAAGGATCTAACGTAGTTTCCAAATGTCTTTTCACCCCATTTGAAGACTTTCGCTGGTTTTTCTTCATCTCTCCGACGTGCTGCATGTAGATCTCGTTGAAACTCGAAATGAAGACAGGGCTCGGAAGACATACCATGACAACAACCCCAAAAATTGCACACAATGCGCCCACCATTTTGCCTATAGGAGTTATAGGTGTCATGTCTCCATATCCAACTGTCGTCATGGTGATGATAGTCCACCAAAATGAGGCAGGAATACTGCAGAAGTCTTCGCGATTTTCCTTATTCTCCACGTAGAAAATGGTACTTGAGAACAATACTACTGAAATAGATATGAGGAAAAATAACGCGATTAGCTGTTCTTTGCAAGAACGGACAGTATACCCCAGAATTCTCAGAGCGGCCACATAACGTGTGAGTTTAAGCAGACGCACCACTCGTAAAAGACGAAAAATTCGCATAACCGTGAACGAAAATGCGGGCGCATATGTGTTACCAAACAAAAGTGTCAGAAAATACGGAATTATTGCAGCCAGATCAATTAACGCCAGCGCGGACAGAAGAAATTTGATTTTCTCTGGAGATGAAACCAGACGGGCGGCGTACTCGGAACTGAACCAAACTATGATACAAGTGTCAATCACAAACCAAACTCGTGGTCTTCTCGGGTTTCTGCCCTCCTCTTGGCTGACGCCACTCGCATTTTTGGTGTTATTGTGAACGGACAACGATTTCACCGCCCGCGTTGCTGCATTGTTACTATACATGGTCTCTGCACAGAACACCACAACAGAGAGAATAATAACAGCCATTGATAATTTGGAGAAGAGCGCAGCCTGCTTTGATGATTCAGGATATTCTAGCAATTCCCACAGTTTTCCCTGCCAATCTCGCTCAGGCATATAAATCATTTTTTCTTTTTGCTCAGCAGGCTTCACTGTTTTGATCTCGTAGAATCTCAGTTCCTCGTCGAACGCATTTGCTGGGATTGTTGAAGGTCGCGAAAGGATTCCTCTGGATTGGTAGTAGAATAGAATAGCGTCGAAGGCGCCTTTATCTCTTTCGAAATAGTATTCATCGCGAAGAGGGTCATAAAACCTCTTTCGTTTCTCTGCCGAACCGAGAAGAGTCTCAGGAAATTCTTCCAGAGTTTCCTGGAACGTCTCGTAACGGCATCCTTGCACGTTTAGAATAATTCGTCGACCGCTCTCCGTCATTGCAATCATGTCTTCTTCTTTTCGTACAATTAAACCCTTCCAATATTGTTCCTGTTGCATCCGATATGAATGAAACTGCAGCTCCTAATATCCCGGACTACCATTGTATGGATTCGACATGTATTATCGAAAGCTGAAGGTTTTGCCATGTTTTTACAATCGACAGTAAAAATATTTTTTTCCACTACAGCAGCTTGACCTTATATTGTCTGTATTAACGAGCTAATGATGAAAAATGTCTCATGTAAACAAATCTTCAAATTCCGTAACAGATGCGCTTTGCCGATTAATTTTTAAAAGTGTCCTTTTGTTGCTGGTAGAATTGAAAGCACTGCAGGATTCGTTCTGCCCCTAAGAACAAATCTATTTTAAATTAATGCAGTAGTGATATCACCCGTCTGATTTTCATAAACAATAGGCGAAGGGTTAATCAATGCTTTTGACTAACACAAAACTAAAACCGGTATGATTTCAAAACAAGACAGAAAAACCTTCATCAATAATTCAGTGTTGCGCGATTCCATGGTGTTCCTCTTAACATGAGCTGGTCGATATTTCAAGGTGTTCAAGTTTACCATTTATAGAAACATTTTCCTCAGCTTATTTTTTTTATCGTCCACACAAACCTCAAAACAGAGGTGAAACCGTAAGAAGGAAGTGCGGCAGATGACGCCATGATCCAAAAACACGCCAATTAAAACAATGCGTATTTATGTTTTCAGTTCATCTTTATCCTTTGTAATCCGCTTTGTTATCAAGACTAGAATCTATCGGCACTTTCGCTATTATCTTAATTGTCTTATTAATAAGGGAATCATCTTCAGTTAATTTCATTCCCTCTTTGCTAATAAAAACGCAGGCTAGAACTAGGAGAACATGACCAGGATGGCAAATAATCCAGCATCGTATTCGCGCCAGGAAAATTAATCATAATTAAATAAAAATAATAGCGTGGAAAGATACTCCTCCCCCGGAAACCGCTGAGACAATCCGCTAACAAGTTAACTTTAGGAAAATATGGTCTTGGTGCAGCTCCACTATCCTCTTCAAGCGCTGATTGGTCAGGGAAAAGATCTCCAACGGCGTCTCGTAAACCGCATAATGAAACTCGTAAAAATTAAAATCTAAGCGAAGAGAAGGAGTTTTCCATCTGATCTACTTAGAAGTAAAAAAAAACCAAAAGAAAAAAATGATTAAGAAATCCTGAATTAGAACTGAAGGATTGAAGAAAAACATCGAACTATTATGACAATTACAAAAGTCAGAAATCATCGTTGGCTTGAATCTGATTATCAAAAAATATTCATGATTTTTAATTTTTCCATCAAATTTCTTTTTCTTTTCCCTTCGTTTTTTTAAGCTGTATACAGCTAATTCTTATCTTTGGTAATCAGGAGAAAAGTTTCGAATCGGGAAGCTTACGTGTCATCGACAGTTAGTTTCGTGTTATATTTCGTTCGTGACATTCGGCAATAAAAACAAAATTTAGACTAATAAAATAATTTGAAACAATGGCATAATTTTGACACATTGAAATTCCTTGATTCGTGTAACTGTTGAAAGCCACCTTCTTGTTATAATTTGCTCGCACGCGTCGCATGTGGTGAACGAATATATTGCTGAATTTTATTTTAAACTAGAACAATCGCTTACTTCATTGAAGAATGATAAGGTTTCTTGACGTTAAGTAAATATTGATTATTAAATATTGAGGGCGAGCTTTAAAACCAAGAGATCGACCAAATATTAGCACAAATACTAGCACGATATGAGGAAAATTAGACCGCACACTCCTTAATAACCTATTAGCATAACCATAGTAACTGTTAAAAATAACTATATAATACGACTTGTGTTGAAAACATTGCACTCTAGATATCAACCAGGAAATCTAAATGGAATATACTACAAAAACTGACGGAAAAGCAATGATAATGGATGCAAAAATGTGTCGGCGTGATAAATAAAAAATTAACAACCTGATGATTTTTATTTCTGTCTTGTCTTGAAGGCACGTTTTCTTTTGATTTTCTTTTTGAAGAAGAAATTGTGAAGATTTGGCTCCTTACAAGAATTATTTTATGTTCGATTTTTCTGTTGAGGTGGGATTGGAATTTATAATAAACTAAACACATGAAATATGATGCAAGATCGTTCGCATATAGATAAAGCTTTTCATTCTAAAAACAGATTCATTATGAATAACTTCCGCTATCATATCGATTACACTGTCAAGCAAACAAAGGACTTTAATGGAAAAATTTATAAGCTTTCGATGTCACTGTCAGGCAGACAGAAAAGTACGACTGAGAAGTTTATCAACTCAACAATAACATACAAGAAAGCATATGGAACTCATTAAAGCTTAAGCATAACTCGCATATGATAAAAAACATTATAGATGGGGATATACGTGTTATTAATTCTTTCGTTTTTCTTTATTTCCGCAACAAACAAGCTCACATAAATATTTGAAGGAGTTTTCGTGTTTTAATGTGGGGACCTTCTGCTGTGGGAGAACGGGTAGAAGTTAGAATGAGGAATTCCGCCTTTTTCCTACACGCTTTGTCTTGATGAAGAGGAGCGGGTGTTATTGACTCTGAGCACTCTCGGAAAGCCTAAGAAGTCCGATAAGGTAAAAAAAAAAAAAGGTGTCGTGCAAAAATCAATCTATCAGGCCTTAAGGTAGAGATTGCTAAAATATTGAAAAGATCTTCAAGGAAATATCGTTCGCCGAAGAAGAAAATTACATGAAAGACAAGTTTCTTCCAGCAGAGAGGAAACGTAAATGTAACATGTAGCTTCAACATAAAACCTTCCTTCGTAAATCCTGCCATGACGTGTTCGCATGTTTCCATCTCCTGTAAACGGTTAGTATCCGATTAAAGTAATAATAATGATAATAATTAGAATAATAATAACAATGATATAGAAACTATAATTATAACAATTATAAACGACAGTCATTAAGCAATAAACGCCACTTTCTATCAGTTTACTTGCTACTGAACCCTTTCGTTTATTGGGAAGTTGGGAGAACACTCGGAAAGTCTGTAAGCCACGAGGCGCAAACTTTTTACCGATCGAAAGTGTGGTTTATTGCTTTTACGACATAAATATGTATTAATTTTGTCAGAAAGAATGATAAATTTAAGTTTATTCTCTGATCAAGTCGCTGATTCTCATGAAAACCGTCAAAAAGTGGGATAAACCAATCAAAGTGAAGGAAACTGAATTAACTGTCAGCTAGAAGAGCGAAGACTGTAATAAATTTATTGCTGGTACGGAGAAACTGAGCAGAAATTGTAAAGAAAACAAACGAGAAATTTGATGGGTGATATACTAGATAAAGGCAAAAACTATAAAGTGCTACTGAAGAACACTACAATTTGGACGCAGAAACGCGATTTTTGTGGCCAGAATTGGCTTACCATTGCGATTACAATCTGATAATCAGTATTGAAAGTTTTAAAAGTTTGCAAGCCTAGGAAGCAGTTTTAACATTTTCCGGAGGTTTTTCAGAGAAGTGAAGGTCAGTTATAGAATTTTAGCTAATAAAACTTATTTAGATCATGAGAACTTAAGTTTAAATTCTTTCATAACATTATTGGAAGGCGCCACGACGGAAACGTCAAAATCGAAAGACAACAACATCGAGCCGTGTGCATTGATACAAACACCGTCCAGCTATCTCGTTTACATGCGGTACCGACCATTTTCCTTCAACCAAATTCGTCTCTATTGCCTCTGCTTGAATTAAAGCTTTCATGAAGTCCTCGTTAAAATTTACAGAAAGGGCTTAAAGCGTTTAAATTTGGCAAATCCTTTTAAATGTAAGCTGAAATCGTGGACAGCAAACGGGACTGCCATAAATCTTAGTGCACATTCACTTTGCAAGTGGTCTTTGTTCTCATCAGTAAATAAGATTTTCAGCGTTTAAAGTGTCTTCTTCGTTTCCTCAAAACCAAAGACCACTAAAAAATTTAAATTCTGGGAATTCGCCTTGTGTGGCGCCATTCCACAGGACGGGAAAATGTTTCAATTTTTATGGGTATGCAGGCAAATACGCAATAGATTTCTGACCAATCAAAAAGTACATTGAGTCTAAGTTACGTCACAATAAAAATTATGACGATGATAATAAGAAGTATGATAACAACGATAAAATAATTAAATTATCACAATGGTACAAACAATAATAATATTAATAAGGATTATACACGCAGGAATATTAACAATGGTAAGATTCACAATTTTACTGATGATAATTCTAAGAGTAATAACAGAAATAAAAATGATGATTATAATAACAATATTAATGGTATTGATATCAGTAATATCATCAATGGTTATGATGTTAATAATGATGATAATAATAATAATTACTTTGAAACTAATGATAATAATTTAAACGAATTCATTTAGGATTGCTCAGATTTAAGAGAAAAGTGTTGTCCATGGAATTCTCTTAAATAAAAACAAAAAGGAAAACGAAACTTCTAAAAACTGTATGATTAAAAATGCAAAGCAAAAAAAAAGTATTGTTGAAAAAACACCTTTGTCCCACTCCAAATTTACCTTTTCCGGCATTTAACAACGAATATCTTGTTTTCTCGCTTTAAAACAATACCATGATATCTGAGAATTCTATTTACCTCACTCTCATTAACAGATGTTAAAACGACGCCAAATTAATATTCCTTTCGCATCCTCTATTTACACTGTTTGTGTATCTATTCAAAATGAGTGACAATTGAATACTTATTTTATTCTTTTCTTTATTCGTGGAGTTAAAAATCCTGTTACTTCGAAGAAGACTTTTTGCGATTTAATCCTTGTAACAGAACGAGACAGAAACAACACCTTAAGGAATCTATCGTAGCCCCTTTCATTTTGTCGGGTTCGTTTAAGTGATTTTAATAGGAAAGCCCTCACATAATTGTTTTTTCTTTTAAGTGTTTGGTTGTTAATTGTCCATATTTGCATTTAGTTTTTAGTTACAAAGACAACGATAACGGAAGATTCAATTTGACATCTCAACAATAAACTGTCATGGTTCAGAGATAGCGTGAAGGACGGTTGGGCAATTTGTGCAGCGAATCCTTTGGATCCATAGTTTCGATAATCGATACAACTGCTTTGGGGCAATTTTCCCATATAGTAATAGCCTATAAGAAGAAAACAAATATTTTTATTTTGGTACGATAGCATTGAAACTCGTGGCAAATTTACCCCGGGGTGATTATAAATCCACTCAAAGTAAGCAATTAGTCATTCTCAAATAATCCCTCTACGTGAGCTGCGGAATGGCCGCATTTGAAAGAGCAAATGGTTCTGTTAAACGAAAAACTTAAAAGTCAAGCAAAAACCAAGTTAACAGTGTTAAAGCATCGGAAATGGGAGCTTTTCAAATTATTTCCCGGAGTGTTAATTCACTTGCCCACCTGCTTTTCTATGACGTCACTAAGAAAATGTCGTTTAGGCTTCTTTTCGAAATTACATTTGTAAACACTGCATCGATGTTATTGTTTGATCGACCGTATCAATTACAGCGCTTAAGGCTGGCTACCTCGGTGTTTATGTTCACTGGATGTGAATGACAGACGTGGTAGAATCGATCTCGTGCGATTAAGGATTGGGCAAGTCACAGTGCACCACGAACACATTAATTCCTGCGATGTTTTCTAAGCTGTCTTACGGTAAGTTCGCTCAATTTGTTGACTTTTTCCCCTTTTTCCGTCTCTTGCTCAATCGTCTCGATAGAAAAGAAAACACACAATCTTTTCGATTGGAGGTGTCTGTCTTTTCTATTAGTGACAATTTCATCTAGACTATCGCGCTCCAAAGAATCCAAGGTGATGATAATACTTCGGTGATGTTGTGTTTCAAAATTTAAAAGTATTCTTTTAGTGAATGGCAATTATTGTGAAATAGAATATTCAACTAGTGGACGCTACAGCAAATTTCCCGCGTCGGAAAAGCGCCGCAAGTTTATTGATTAATATGTCCTTGAACGTCCCCGCAAAACACAGCAGAATTAGGATAATTATGCCTCGACGAGTCACGAACTCAAGGCTTAAACTTTATCTAATGTAGGGGGTAAATCATACACGAATTCATATACGCAAGAGTAAAAAAAGTTCCGACAAAATTTGCTACGGCTTACTTGATTAAGCAGCGCTATCTTGTGTAAGTGCTCTCAGCACAATTTTCCCCCTTACTACCACGAGTTTGCTCTAGTTTTTCCGATTTGCATGTGGTGTAATGTTACTCGGCAGGTTGCGAATTTCAACTCGTTCAAAAGGAATAGTTGTAATCGGTCTGTATTCTCTTTAACACAAGTGAATGCGAGGTAGTGCTTCCAGCTTAAGTCAATAGGAAATTTACACATGCAGCCCAGCGAAAAATATCCTAAACATAACCTCTTCCTCGCTTTTTCCATATCGTCTTTCGCAAATTTTCGGTACGCTGTCTCCAACACCGTTTTGTCATTCTACCTATTGTTTCCGAGTATTTTGTTATTCTTCAGTCAACGAACAGTATCTTACGAAGGAAATTCCGAAAAAAAAATTGAAGTAAGAGACAGAAGATAAGAAGGGTTAAGAAATTGCGATCGCCTTCTCTCAGCTTTCAGTTGTAATCCAAAACCTCGCTGTATTCAGAATGTAATTATATTCAACTGTATATAATGCTTCGAACATGGGAAATTAAAAATTCCAACTCCTGATATTGCATGTTCTTAACCCGTTTGTTTCAAATGTTTTCTGACCTTTTATGTTTCCTTCGATCAATGCAGAATTTTACCATTTTTCAAGTCTGTACCTAAGCAGTCCTAAAAATATACTATGGCCCTATGGTTGTTAATTCAGACACTACATCGGCTAGTTTACAAAGTTTTTAGCACAACACATTCTATTATGGGCAGAGGCTGAAATGCTTTACTCAAAATCGTCTAATGAAATGCATATTTTTGGATACCGAAAGCCAAATGAACGAAAATGTGACACAAAAAACATTCTATCTTCTTCAAGGCAACGAACAAATATGTTATATCGTTTCCATGTACATCCCCCATGAGCTCTCCAATATGATATCTTTCAAATGCCACGTTGGGGCTCGGAGATAAAAATTACAAGGTAATTCATTCTTCTTAAGCCATATTGTTTCGTAAACTTTCAGTATTACATATTTTCTTTGTCATGGTGGACTCTTAGTTTACATAACAAAAGTGTTATATTATAATTAAAGTTGAAGGTGATACCTCTTAAAATCGACTAGTGAGCGAAACCACACCACTAAATTGCGATATCTGTCAAAACTGTTCACAAATTCGCGTAAATAGCCTCATTTGTACAGGAGAGGGTAATATCCTTTATTCAAAACGAAATAATTTTCATGAGCCGTAGTTAAAACCTGGGCTAAAACGTCTCGCAGCCGGACAATTTTTCTATGGTTTACCGCGCTGCGGTTTTCGCAATGTTTAGGGACCTGTTGTCAAAATGTTTGTAATTTGTGGTTGGAAACTAACGCTTTTTTTGGCTGCACCGTATTAAACATCGCCATGAGCCCGGATTAATCTGTTCAATGGCTAAAGATCTACAAGCGACGGGGAGCTTTTCTTCTTTAAAAAGCTAGAAGTATTTAAGCAATTTTCTTTTGGATGCCTCTGAGTTCATCGTGTTCTATAAGCTGAGAAGAGCATGTCTGAAATCTGCATCCATTATTTGCCATGTTTGCCACAAAACGCGGGGTTGAATTAAATTTTAACTCTGCAAAATTATGAAAAATAGTGTGTAGGCGTTTCAAATGGCTTAGCCATCTGAATTTTTAAGAAACAATGCGAATATTAAAAAAACATGCTATTTTCAATCAGAATCGTCAGGTAATTTTTTTCTTTAATTCTTTCTTTTAACGAATAATCATACTTTTGGAATACCAAGTTTACGACATAAAGGTACCAGTTTGCAAGGAAATTGCCCTCACTTTAGAACGAGCTTGCCATTACAATTTGACTCGTTAATATTTATCTGTCTTAGGAGAACCATGGTTAGAAACCGGTAGCGAGTCCTAGATTTCAAGTTATTGTCTTCGTATTTTCAGCTATTATCACTCTGATTTTTGTTCCATCACACTTTGTTGATATTGCGACTATAAAACGTAGGCTGCTTTCGTTTTCCAAAGAAGAAATTAATCCCACGCTAAATTTAAGATACCCTGATTGCTTGGCTACGTTTGTTACGATAAATAAAATTCAATGATGTTTAATTTCTGTATAAATAAACTCATAACAGAACTCAATCATGATTTATTGCACTCTCTCTTTTTTTTTTCATTTCAGCCAACGTGAGGTAATGCCGGAAACTTCTATCCAACTATAATGTCGGTGTGATGCGCAAATTATATGAGTCTGGCCCCAGTGAGAGGTCTATAACGCGCGGTATGCGGTCTTCACACTGTTTCGGCGGGCAGACGGTAACGCCATAACATCAGGATTTAATGAAGAAAACACAAGCGTCTATAGAAATCATCCTCTTCAGCAGATAATAAATAATAGCGTCAATCGGATAGTAAAATGCTTAAGGCTTATAACGCCGCGATAAACTTCCCCCCGCTCCAAACTCCCCGACAGCGGAGAGTCGCAAACTATATTAATGTACCATCTTATAAATCAGCCTACAATAGCCCACGAGTTACCATCAATGTCAGCGGTATGCGCTTTGAAACATACGAGGAGACCTTGGGGAATTTTCCAGACACGCTGCTCGGCTCTCCATCTAGACGCATGGAGTTCTACAGCTCTGCACTAGGTGAATACATTTTCACTCGAGATAGGCCATCGTTCGACGCCATTCTATTCTTTTACCAATCACGCGGTATTCTTGCCAAACCGCCAACGGTCAGTGAAGAAACATTTATGCAAGAAATTGAGTTCTACGGTTTGCCCGGTAGTTATTACTCGGACAGCGACGAGGATTTGTCAGCCTCGCAGGATGATGTGGAAGAAATTTTACCTCTTAGTCCACACAAGCGAAAGCTTTGGCTGTGGTTTGAGTATCCGCGGTCTTCCAAAACCGCGCGGATTCTTGCACTTTGGGCGATTTTCGTCATTGTTTTTTCAACTGTTGTATTCTGTATCGAAACTATTCCAGCGCTCGCGCTCAAACCGAAGACAACTTACCGGAACGTTAGCATAGGCGGCCATTACACCCGTGTGCCTTACAAAGAGCATATTGTCGATTACTGGTTTGTTATGGAGGGGATATTCGTTGCATGGTTTACAATTGAGTACTCTGTTCGTCTTTACTCAGCGCCAGTCGTTTGGCATTTTGTCAAGTCCACAATGGGGATTTTAGACGTACTAGCCATTATGCCGTTCTATGTAACCTTAGCGTTTCAAAACAGCACTGAGGAAGTGCGCTCTTTCGCCGTGTTACGTGCAATAAGATTATTTAGAGTTCTACGTGTTTTTAAACTCTCCAGATACAGCGATGCCGTTAAGTTATTAGTCAACACTATATACTCCAGTGTAGAGCAGCTTAAGACGTTAGGATTTTGCATCATAGTTGCAGTCGTGGTATTCTCCAGCGCAATTTTCTACGCCGAAGGAGATCCAAACATTGCTAGCATTCCAGACGCCTTTTGGTGGACGATAATCACCATGACAAGTGTAGGTTATGGCGATGTGGTTCCTATAACCCCCCTGGGGAAATTTGTTGGCTCTTTTTGCGCCATGAGTGGGGTGGTACTGTTCTGTCTTCCCACTCCGGTTCTGGTGTCTAATTTTGTTAGGTTTTACCTTAATTACGGAGATCTTACCGAAAGGAAGCGAGCTTTTGCTCATAATTTAAAACAGTTATTCCTTAGATCAAACAAATAAGGGGAGCGTTTTGCTTCTCTACTGATACGGTCGGTTGGGGGTAAAATTTATCCATTTATCCATCCATCCCTTAGTAGAGTGTCTCAGTGGGTTGACAGCTTTTACGCCTAACGGTAAAATTTTGGCCATTTTGAAGCTAACGGTTGATCTCTTTCTGTTCTAGTTAAAAGAAAAAAAATTTACCCCAACTTTCTTTACGAATAACGGTTAAAATCTGTCAAATTTTAGCCAAACGGCCATTTAACTATTATTATTATTAACATCATCATCATTATTATTATTATTATTATTATTATTATTATTTTTCCGTCTTAGAGCCAACGGTTTACCCCATTTAGGTCCTCTTATTACTTAACTATTTATTTGTCTCCATTCGTTTTTTATCTTACTTTGAATGCGACGTTATCAGGTTACTGGTTCTTCAGCTCCGGGCGTATCATGAGGATATGAGAATCAGATAGAATACCTGCAATTAAAATGTTATTAAGTTGAAAAATGTGGTCAACGAAAAGGCAGACTGAAGAAAAGTTAATGATTTTTTCGTGCTTTTAACGCCAATTTTTGCTCTGATGTGTTCCTTGCAGCTTTCATTCCACTTGACAACTCATTTAAGAGTCAAAGGTTAAGTGTGGTCTCGTGCTAAGTAGCCCATCTAGCTGGAGCTTATCCCTGTTGCCATAGCATTGAGCAACCAGGAGTATTACTACTTCCCCCTGGATGAAATTCGATTTTAGTCCATCTCTGGTAACTTCTCTTCGACGCTTTCCTTATTGTTCACCAGTACCCACTTACACCCTAGCGCAAAGAGGGTCTTGCCAAGAGTGGCCTTCGTGTAGCCGAACCTTCCCCCCAAGGAGAAACTCCATTTCACTCGGGGGGGGGGGGAGGGTACGGCTACACGTAGACTATATCGAGAGCATAACGCAGTGACTTAGGTAATACTCGAACCTAGATCTCTCGACCGCGGTTTCAACGCGCCAACCGTTCCGCGGCTAGGATATCCTGAAGATGTGACATTATCCAGGATTACGTTTAGTGAACTTCCACAAAGGATTTTTATGCCCCCATCTACTTTCTTAAATGACTATCGTCTATTTGCTGCTTTTTTTGTTGCTTTCACTCCGGGTTCGCGATATTGAGGCCCTTGCTCGACGAGAGGTCGTCCTGCACGTGTGAAAAGCTTCCATTTTATATGGCCTACTAAATCAACTTGAAAACATGGAATGAGCGACAGAGAACTTCAGGATCTGGCAAGAAAACAGGCAGCGATTTTGCAAAGGCCCTGCTACGCAACATTTCGGAGCAAAATTAAAAAGAGGGACCGTTAGACGGGGAACCGTTTACAATCGTTTACAAGTCTAATCCTGTGTAAGTTTTTTAATGACCTTTCCAGCCCCTAGTAAAATTAATTTCTGGTAGTAAATTTCCCCCAATGAAATTTAATTCAGACATTAATTTCTCCAAAATTTCATCTTGGTATCCGCTACTATTTAAGCGTATATCTTGACACACTGTAGCAGTTAGTATCAAACGTGGAATGTCACAAATTTTTTCTCGGAAAGCTTCCCCTTTTACAAATTCTTTCCTCTCGCTTTTGTCCACTCCTGTGCCCAAGAATATAATTTCTGAGTCTGGATTTTCAGCCTCGATTTTGATCGTATTATGGTAGCCGTTTGCCTGTCTTTCAAATCTTATAATTTATTTTTAGTAGTGTCATAGATGTCTTCAAAATTAGCGGTTTAGTTGATTGCTGGGCAATGACACTTGTTTTCTATTTTTCCCATGAAATATTGGTAAAAGCTCCGGCCGTTATGGTACCCTTTGCCCTACGTGGGTTTGAGGGAAAAATATTGAGGCCCCAAATCACAGGCGTCCCAAGCAAAGTAAATGATTAATTCATCAAAGCGTCACGCGTCGTGTGATTTGGTGTTAAGTCACGAGAGAAACCGTTGAGAATTTTAACACGTTATTTCGAAATATGAACATACTATTCCTTATGACGTGTTCAAATTCTCAACGATTCTTCGCAAAACTTAACACCAAATCACACAACGCGTGACGCTTTCCTAAATTAATCGTTTGCTTTTCCTCAAGACGTGAGCTTGGAACGCCTGTGCCCGAATCAAAACAACGACAAAGGCGCGCAAAGCACACTGATCAGGCGTGACTCTTTAATATAAAGCAATATGGTGCCTCTAATGCTACATCGTAATACGCCAATAGCAACAAACCAACGTGCTACAAATAGCGACGCGTAAACAATCGACCTCATCGCATTATGCAGACTAGCTGTATTCCAGTCGAAACGTCGCGATCAACATCCAAAGTGACTCCATCGTGAGACAATCTAATAAAGTTCATCTCCTATCTTACACCACGATGAACAATAAACACATATTTTATTATATGTCAGATACCGTCCTAAGCCACATTTCACGGAGTCAACGGAGAGTGCACCTGCAGCTGCATGCTGACCAATGATCTCTCAGGGACCTCACGAGCTGGTCATGTATTGATTAGGGAGTTTAAAAAGTCTATGACTACTAAAGCTCTTGCCAAAAGATGCAGAAAATCAAAAGAAAGGGGATAAAATGCAAATAAAAATTAAGGTGTTTTCATTATTCATGGCCCCCATCTAGACTAAATTTGCATCTCAAAAGAAACGGGAAGCTTTGTAGAACAAAGACGGAATTATCTGAAGCTGAGATTCTTTTTTGAAGAGTACTTTAAATATCTGTAGTCTTCTTCCTTTTTTTTTTTTTCACCAAGAAGAATCAAGCAGGTTTGATAAATCGCCGGCTCAAAATGGCACGCTAAGATCACAATTATTTTCCTCAACATCTTTATTATTTATTCATTTCTTATGGCTAGTCTTTTTAAGGTACATATATTTTTAAAGGTAACTACGAATGTTTTGTTTTGCACATCGAGTTTTGATTTGTAGTTCAATTTTTCTGAATCGACTCCCAATAGAGTCAATTACACCCAATTAAGTTACGCTTGTCCGCCAACAAACCAAGCTGAATGGAAACCAACACTTAAAATAAATACTGCAGCGATTAACAGATGTGGATAACTGTCTCCTGTAGGTTTTGCAAGACTTAAACACCTCTCTTTGAGTGAATCCGTGTTTGAAAACAACCTCTGGGCTTGTGCTCCTCATTGAAGTCTACATCGGTGGATATGGCTGGTAAAAGTCTCTTTCGTGATGATGTTCCAGAAGTCGTGATCAAGAGCATTTTCAGAAAATACGACTTGGATAACAGTGGATGCTTAGAGAAAACCGAGATTTTAGCGATGCTGCGAGACATGGGATTGGACGAGAAGCAGGCAGAAGTTTGTTTTTTGCTTGTCGATAAAGACGGAAATATGAAAGTCTCTCTTACAGAGTTTTTACTGTGGTTTCGTGCCGGCGAAGGTTTCAATGTGATCGACGACCGAAACCGATACGCTTACGTCCGAAGAGTTGCCGACGAATTTCTAAAGTACGATAGAGACGCGAGTGGAGTGATCGACAGGAAAGAGTTTCGAGCTTTGTTGGCTTCTGGAAGCAAGGAATGGAACCTATGCAGCGAGGAGCAGATCGCCATCGCTCTCAAAAGTGTGGACAGAGATGGTAATGGAACTGTCTCCTTCTCCGAATTTTTGGCATGGATAGACAGGGCAAACGCAAATAAATGCAGAAAATAACTGTTGTGATCTGCAAACAAAAACAGCTTCTTGATATTTCTTCTTAAAACTTTTTAAAAAGCGTAATTGAAAATCACTTTTCGGTTTAACCTTCCACGTACAGGAAGTTTGATAATGCTTTAAGTTGATATTACGTTATCATGACACATTTTCATAATATTTCTCGGAAGAGTTTATATGGATTCAGAGGTTCCCCATGTCACAAGTTTAGAAAGTTTCACATTTATGCTGATCAAAACTTTTGCCAATTTACCTTGAGAAAAATCACTGCAAAAGCAAACTTTCTCAGAAATCTAATCCTAGCTAAATTGGGCGAATGTAAATACATATTAAAAAAAAAAGGTCTTTTGCTCCGGGGAGAAAGCAGGTTTCAGGTGTTGTTTTAGAGAGTTTTCGTCTAAAATCATCATACTTTTAGTTTTAATATCTTTCTGATATCTACAAACTATTTGTAAATAAAGTCATTTACAAGCAACGTCTATAGCAATAAAATATCTTGCTTTCCTCTCCTCTTTGAAATTTCAGATTTCTGCAAAATTTACGAATGCTGATTTAACCTAAATTGCAAGAAAAAAAATCATGTTATTACTGTGCAATAATAAACAAGAAATAATTTCACGAAGTCTACATACCCTGAGAAATTAACAGTTAGACTACTAACAGTCTCTAACAGTCTAAAATTTGACGCTAACGCGCCGCTAGTTGCTTTCAGATAACGTCGATGCGCTATGGGAGCTCCGTGAGTCAGGCGCTCGATAACGAGCACCTTGTGAAATGCCGAATCGAGCGGCGTGATGCATAAATTATGACTGATTATGCAATCGGAACCATGTGGTTACTCAATATTTGTCACGCAAGATACGGCTTCGTCGAACTGCATATTTTCAGCAATCATTAAGAGTGACTTTTGACCAAAAGATAGACTGCGGCAGGAATATCAAACAACTCAGTGACTGCCTACGATAATTGAGTAGAAATCCGTCTGGCTAAATTTCAACTGGCCATTTTTTTGTTCCTCTTCTTAAGAAAATATTCATCTTTTTAGTTGAGTGTAATTTCTTACTCTCATTTCCAAGCGTAATCGGTTTTGGGTCAGTTATATTTTCCAATTCCCGAGTTATTTCAGTGACAGTAGAACTTCAAGAATGCCGGGTTGTGAAAATGGTAAGGATGGAACGAAGTGGTTTGGAACGAAGTGGTCATGGAACGAAGTGACCGGATACCGTAAGAATAAAGGGAGGATAAACTAAATGCGTAATACTCATCACTACCACGTTGTAATAACAAATGGTAGTGTGTGCTTACAAACAACAATTACAAAAACTTGGTAAAAACGATCTGCGATTGCTGATTATCAAAAGCGCTTACAAAATATCTATATACATTTTCAATTACGGGACAGAACCATTCGTAACTTTTTGCTCAAGTTGCAAAATCTTTTGCTATGTACCTATATAAAGATATCAAAGCTTCTCTCTCAAAAAAAATAAGAGACGATGTATGAGTTCAACCATTTGAACTTTAACCTCAAAACGTGTAACTTCATGTAAGGCTAGGCAAGCTTCATTATACGCAGCTGTCAGGTAAGCTGACGAGTAACAGTAACAGTATTACAACAGTAATAGATTGTTAAAGAAAAGAGCTATATCCACGTGTTGAATCCAGTGCGAGACTGAAATTCATGCTTCCCAAAGAGAGTTTTAAAATAGGATAGGAAATCCACAAATCTTCTGTCTGTATCGAGTCCGAATTGAGTGCGAGACTTAAGGCCGATC